CAGCTATTTTTTGGGGTGTAAGTAAGTACCCCCTAAAATACCATTAAAATGTAATAGAGGGGTTAAAGTAATACTACAGTGGTACTTGCATGTGGCTGACAAGGGTTCAATCTCCCGCACCCCGTATGGTCCCCCAAACCCAGCCAGGCATGTCTCTTGAGCACAGACATGAGTAAGCCCTGAGCACTTACGGGTGTAGCCCCAAAGCAAAACGAGAAAGGTGGTATCTACTTATACGCATACTGGTTTTTTAAAACTAAACAATTAACAGCTCAGTCCACTCTTAGGGTGTTTCCATTAGCATCTGAAAATTCCCAAAGAGGGATTGATATTCCACAAGGAGTTTCTGCCAACTATTCAAATAGCCTTATAGCATGATTTCAAAAATTAGCATAAGGAATGTTACATCCTTTTCACTGGTGAAATGAGGCATGTTTACGCAAACTGAAGCACTTCCTCCCTTTCAGGAGCGGAGTGTGAGAACCAGAGCATGTTTGGGGTGACTAAACAGCCTCTTCTCACGTCCATTTCCTCTCTGTACATTGGGGAGACTCTCTCTTCACGATGCACCCTTCCAGCTCTGGGCCTGGCAATTAGTGGTTGTCCTACAAATCTCTCCCCTTTCCCCTGGCCACTGTCTTTAGCATAGTGATTTGAGCTCCCATTTTTGTATCACTTGCCCTGCTTGTCTCACCTGTGTCTTCATCTTAACTCTCATTCTAAATAGAATATTCAGGCCTAACTAGTGCTAGCCAGCACGGAAAGAGCTCAGGACAGTTACTCAAATTTTAGTGTATCTCGTCTACCTAGCATGCTTCTTTTAATGCAGGTGGGTGGCGCTGGAGATAGTACAGCCAGTAGGGCATTTGCCTTGCATGCAGCTGACCCGTGTGATCCTCATTTTCCAAGCCTGCCAGGAGTAATCCCTGAGCACAGAGTCAGGAGTAAAGTCTCAGCAGAGCTGACCCTCAAAAAAAAAAAAAAGCTATGCATTAATCCACGCCACCATGTCTGCCCGGAGGGGAAAGGGTGTTGGTCCTTTCCACCTTCTTCCCTCTGGAAAGAAAGATGGCAGCCGCTTGGGAGCTTTGTGGAAAGCCAGGTATGAGCCAGTGGTAATGGGGCGACTAAAACCTCTTGGGAAGGGGGGTGTTCCCGGCTCGTCCTTCACGCCCTACCGAGGCCACCAGTTGCCCCCCACAAGCGGCTCTCCAGCACAGCCATGGCTCCAGAGCACAGAAACCAATCTTTTAATTATCTGACTCTCAGCAGAAATACTTCCAGGGTTAATAAGTAAAATAGCAGAAATCCAAAACATCATTTAATTCTTGAACCCAGCTGTAGAAAGCAAATCATTTCACAATGCTTTTTCAGCATGTCTGATTTGGGGGTGTAAAGTCTAAATAATAATGGTGCATCTTTCATCGAAACAATAAATCTAGTCAAAGTAGATAGAATGTTAACTAGAATTCATCTACCTCACAGGCATTGGGAGGGGTGGGGGGTGGGGGTTTATTGGGGTTCTTCGTGGTGAAAAATAAGTATTGGTAACGGAAAATGTGTTTGATATTCGCATGACCAAGACCTAAACCTGAACGCTTTGTAACTTTTCCCACAGGGATTCAATAAAAAAAAAAATGTAATGTGGAGTTCATGCCCAATTCAATCAGCTTAATCAATGGCTGAATAAAAAGCAGTACTCCTACATTAAAAAAATTTTTAAAAAAATTTAAAAAACAGGCAGAAGTGAGGGTAGGTAGCTTGAAGATCTAGTGTGGGAGCCCTGGGTCAGAATGGTCCCTGAGCACCTCAAGGAATGCAGCCCCACCACACACACACACACACACACACACACACACACACACACACGGCTTTGAAAAGCAGATTGCGGGAATAAACCTCAAAAGACAGATTCCGTATGCCCATATGTGCTTGAGAAATCAACCGTGACATCAAGGCCCAACCCCCATAAACGTGGTGATCCAGCAGGTCTGTGTTTGCAAAGTTTGATTCAGACGCCCTAAAATTAATATTTTTTCCCTTAAAATTCAGCCCCACACAAACACAATAGACCTGGCTTTTGATTCCCCGGAGGGCCTTGGCCTGAGCTGACCTGGAGGCCTGAAGCCAGCTCACCCCAGCACACTGCATACAGGAGAGTCTCACTATTGCCTGCCCAGGGCATATTTCTCCTTTCCCCAGCTCTCCACTGCAATCTCCTCACCCTTCTGGAAAGTTCTGATTGGCTGAGGCCCCACCCAACTCCCACTCAACTCACACAAATGCAGGTCAGTCTTGGGGACTTTTGACTCAGCAGGGAAGTGCACTGTGCCTTCTCAAGGTCACTCACCTGATAGGAACTGAATCCAGAAGCTGCCTGGGTTAGCTCAAGAACTGAATGATGATGGAGAGAGACAGAGAGTTTCTGGTGATGGGAATTTCTTCAGCTTAAATCTACCTGGGCTGGAGTTTCTTACAAGAGAAATTCTGACACAGAACAGTGCCATCCCCCAGAAAGGTCTTTATGCCACCCTCTCTCCTCAGGTCATCCTTCTCTCTCAGCATCAGTGAATACTCACCCCTGGGGTGCCCCCAAACAATGTGCCAGCTTCTCCTTTTCCTCACAAACTGTCACCTCCTTTCCACAAGGTGGAAGTCCCAGGGAACTCTGTGCCCTTGTAGGTGGGAAGCATTGTTCTTTTCGTTTTTTAGCATTGCCTGGTGATGTGCCCTAGCTACTCCCAGCTCTGTATTCTAGGAGTCACTCCTGGTGGTATTCAGGAAACCAGTTGATGCCAGGAATTGAATCCAGGGCCTCCTGAATTCAAAGCATAAGCTCCAACCCATTGCGTGAGCTATCTCTCCAGCCCTCTTGTTCTTAGAGTGAAATCTGGGCCCTTACTTTCACCCCTGGGTGGGGAGGGGAATGGAATCTCTTTTCTATAGAGCTCACTGTTCTTATCTCTTGAGTCCCCTTAAGGATTTGATGCCAGCTTTGCAATCTTCACCTCGGTCATCACTCCAGAAACATTTCACCTGTCCCTTTAATCGTCTACATCGCAGTTTGAACGATACTCACAGCCATGCATGGTTTTAAGCACTTTACCTATATTTTTGTTATATATACTTAGATATACATGTATGTGTGTATGCATATATAAGTTGCTCACTCAACTTTTATAGGACCATAAGGTATTATTACCTCCATTTTATAGAAGAGGAAACAGAAGCACAGAAAAGCAATTGAGACCTGTCTGGAGTGACCCATCTTCGAAGTGGCAAGGTAAAGATGTGGGCAAGGCAGACTAATTGCAGCGTCTGGGTTCTTAGCTCTCGAACTCTCCTCCCAGAACCCTGTGCTCTGTACTTGCAGAACCCCCGGAACCTCTGTCCATTCGTCCTGTGGAGGTGAGAGATTCCAACTGAGTCACCGGAAGCTCTAGATGCCCTTTCTACAGCTCCGTTCTTAATGGTCTTCTAGCCTGCCAATGTAACAAACAGAAGTTGGGCTGAAATATAGTATATTTTCGCGAAAAATAGTATATATTCTGTTCCTAGCTGCCCAAAAGATCTCTCAGCTCGTGTAACCCATACTCCTGACTATGGGGAAAGTGTCCCCTTCAGCCAGGTCTAGCCTCCCAGCACCTGAATGTGTCCTCTCGTTGCCATGGATGTGACTGGGCGTGAAGGATCCTGGATCAGTTTACCCTCCCAGCCAATCACATCGAGGTGTAACTAGATCAAAGCTGTGAGGCTCTGAAAATTCATTCATGCTTGCTGCTCCTCTTCTTTTTTCATCCCCTTCTCCCTCCCTCCCTCCCTCTCTCCCTCCCTCCCTTCCTTCCTTGCTTCCTTCCTTCCTTCCTTCCTCTGGCTCTCATCCCTCTTGCTTCTCCGCCTTCCATGCCAGCTGCTGCCAAGCTCTTCCGGCTTCTCTGTGCCACCGCGCGTCCCTTCCACACGCCCCCCCCCACCCCCCTGGGCTGCCGGAACTACCCTGCCGCGGGCATCCCCGGATACGCTTCAATGTGCCACTTCTCTGTTCTGTGACTGGTAGAAAAAGCAAGCAAAAGCGTGCCTCGGTGCCGTCATGCATAGAAGGTGGGCACGCTCAGCCTGGGCATCCTCGCCCCATGACACCAAGCAAGCCTAATAAGTACTCACAACCACGACTATCATTAGACCTGTTTATTGAGCGCTTGCTCGGTGCCACCGCGGGGACCACTAGTCCTTTCATCGTGAACCACCCCCTCCTTTTCCTGCCAGGGAAACTGACGCAAGAGACGGCTGAGGACCTGCTCCGAGCCCCCGGGGTCACCACCGGCTCCGTGCGTGTCCCTTGCTGCCCAGCGACACGCCGCGCCCTAGCCCGGCCGGCTGCAGCGGCCCCTGGCTACAATGTAACCGTAATTGCTGCGTCATGCAGCAGCCCGGAGCTACCGGCGGGCGGGCGGGCGGGCGAAGGCCGGGAGGAGGCAAAGGCAGGCAAAGGAGAAAAAGAACCATTTGCACAAAAAAAAAAAAAGCAACTTTGCAAAGGAAGGAGAGGCGGGGGCGGCCACGCGCCGCGACTTCCTGGTCACCGTTACTCAGCACTTTGCGGGGTGCGCAGGGCTGGGGAGCCGGGCGTGGCCGGCCTCTCCTCTCCCAGGAGTCCAGCCCTGCCCAGGCCAGGCGGCCCCTTCCCGAAGAGCTCGGGCACGCGGGATCGAGAGCCGGGCGGGGCCTCCCCTCCCAGCTGCCCGGGCGGCGGAGCAGGGCCCCGGCCGCGCGCGCACCCCCGGAGCACCCTCGGGAGCGGGGCGCGGGGAGGGGGGAGGCGGAGGGGCGGGAGGGCGCGGGCGGGGCTCCCGGGGGCGCCCCCCGCGGCGCGGCTGCCCGGAGGCGGGGCCAGGCCGGCGCTTTGGCGGGCGCGGGAGGCCCGAGCGGGCGCGCCCCCGCCTCACGCACGCCGCGCGCGCCCGTCCGCCCCGCCCCGAGCCCGCGGCTTATAAGGCGGCGCGCGGCGCGGGACGCGGCGTCTGCCACCGAGGTCGCTGCGCCGTGCGGGTCCCGCTCTGCCCAGTGCTCCTTCCCCAGGGTCGCCGGCCCCGACTCCACGCCGCCGAGATGGTGAAGCAGATCGACAGCAAGGTGGGCGCGCGCCCGGGGGCGCCACGCGCGGCCTCCCAGCTGCGGCCAGGCCTTCCCCCCCCCCCCCGCCGCCCCCGACTCGGCATCGCCAGGGCCGGCGGGCACCGCCGCGGGAAGCCCCGAAACCTGGGCCTGGACGCGCGCGGGGCCCCCTAGCCGGGCGGGATCGGGGGGTCTCCCGCGCTCCCCTCGCGCGCTGCGCGCCCGGGGCTGCACCCCGCGCCCTGCGCCTCCTTGCACCCGCGCCGGCCGGCCTCGCTGCCCCGTTTGGGTGGCCGGGCTGGAAATCTGCCCCGAGGACCCCCTGTCGGTCTGTGTCCGGAGGAGGGTCAAGGCCTGGACAGCAGGAGCCCAGGGGGAGAAAGCATCTGGGGTCGCCGGCCCAGCCACTAGGTCCAGCCGCGTGCAGCTCCCCCACCCCCCACCCCAGGGTACCCCAGAGGGGCCCCGCGGCCGCCTCCACCCATCCCCACCCGGCCCGGGGAGGCGGCGCGTGCAGGGTCCGCGCTCCAGGGGGCGGGTCCCGGCCCGAGCCCCCCGGCCCGGCGGCGCGCGCCCGGGTGCCCAGGTGGCCGCGAGGAAGTGAGGTCCGGGCCGCGCCCTCGGGACTGCCCCTGCGTCGCAGGGCGTTTCCGGCGGCGTTGGCTTTGGCATGACTCAGTCCCCAGTCGGGCCCCGGGGCCGCCTCTGCCCTGCCCATCTGTGATCCACCCGCGGTCCCTAGGAGCGGCCGCGCCCTAGGGACCCGCTGTGTGCCCGGCACCCTTGGGCGTCAACCCAGATGCGCGGACCCTACCCTTTGGGAAGTGCCGGAGCCCAGAGGCTTGCCCAGGCGGACCCCGGTGGGTCACGTGCCCCGCCCTGGGAAAACTCAGAACTTCACCCAGGACGCGATGATACATTGGAGCCACCCAGAGAAACGTTTGCTCAGTGCAGCCGGGGAAGGGAGGGGGATGCCTGTTGCCGCCGAAGATCTGATGCTGCCGCCGTTTCTGCGCCCCTCGCCCTCCCCTCCACCCCCCTCCCCCAGGAAAGCAGGACAAAGGCACTTCTGCGTGGTGGACTCTCATCTGGGGGTTACTTTTCTCAGCAGAACACTTACATGGTCGTGGGTAGGAAATTTGGGAGGAGAGAATCTGCATCCTAGAAGCAGCCACAAGTAGTAGGTAGAGGTGATGTCTCCTGGTTTTTCTTCCTTTTTTTTGGAGTGGGGGAGAAGCGAGGGAGCGGGTCCAGTTTAGCCTGAGACTGGGAACCGTTTTTGGAATCATTGACTCAGTTAGTATCTGAATGCGGCGAAGGGCACTTTTCCCTGCTTCAGCGAATGTTTTTGTTTAATAACGTTTTGTCCCAAGCGGTCAGCTGTTCCCGCAGGTCAGAGGGCAGTGATGGGGTTCAAAGGGTAGCCACACTGGAGACGCCTGGGGTGAGCTCTTGATCCACTACCCTTTTCTCCCTGGACTTTTTTTTCCCAGAATTTGAGCTAGATAATTAGCTAAGGAAACCTGGCACCTTCTGATTTGAGTGTCTCCTGTCATTGTGGACTCCGCCTGCCCACACTGCTTGCACACACACGTTGTTTGGATCATCGCTGTCTGTGTTTTGATCTGTTTTCTCCAACCAGGATTTCTTTTCCTTTTGCTTTTTAATTCATGTTTACAAAAAATTCGCAACTCTCATTTGCTGCCAAGAGAGATTTCTTTTTTGTTTGGTTTTGCTTTTTAAGTCACACCCAGAGATGCTCAGGGGTTACTCCTGGCTCTACACTCAGGAATTACTCCTGGTCTGTCTGGGGGACCATACGGGATGCTGGGGATTGAACCTGGGTCAGCTGTGTGTAAGGCCAATGCCTTCCCCTCTGGACTATGGCTCTGACCCAAGAGAGGTTTTTTAAATCCTGAATTTGGCTCCATCTTCCCTCCACAGCCTACTGTTGACAGGTGGTGTGGGAGGGGGGGTTGTCCAGGGTCTCCAGCTTCAGTCTTAACAATCCAACAGGTGAGAGGTGAGGCCTATTAGAGGAGTAAAAGGACTTTGGGATCTTTGTCCTGCTCTGGAGTTTGTGCAGTATAAGCAGAAAGTTGACCGGACCCTGCACACCCCTCAGCGCTTTGCAGCTTTAGTTCTTAGCTGTGGCATCTCCTTTCTCCGTCCTCCCTCTGGGAGACGCCTGAGAGATGGGCAGGACATTGGTTACTCAGAAAAGGCCCCACGAGGGCCTAGAGATGGTTCATTGGCGGGAATTGAGTGTCTGCCTCTGGAGGAGGTCCCAGCCTCACAGTGCTTGACACCATGAGCCTTTGAGGTGGTCCAGCATCTGCAACCCTGTCCTGCAGGGTCGCTATTGGGTACACATGGGTCATGAGCGGTACCTCTACATTTATTGACTTGGGTATTCTTGTTCGAAGTAACAGCTTTTTATTTCTGCATGAGATATTATTTAGCAGTATATTAGTATTGCAGGTATTATGTAGCAGTATTTTGCAGTCTGCAAAATATTTCTCCTGCTTTCTCCAGTCCACAGGTGTGGAAAGACTGCCAATCGTGGTTTGGAGCCACGGGTTTGATAACAGACTGTAAATGCAACTAGAAAGAAATCAACACATGGCACTTTTGTTTTGCTTTTGAAAGAACAGCAGCTGCCTTTATTGAACTGTCTTCCACACGCCGGCACTTTGGGAAATACTTTCCAGGCCACTCATTCTTTAAAGGAAAAGAGATAATACACACTGGTCTTATTTACCCAAATACATTGTTTTGTTTTCAGAACACAGGTCCATGATAAGGACCTGTATCAATCCTTGTTAGTTGCTGATGGCTAGTACAGCTGGTCGGGCCATTGACCTGAACTCTATCCCTGCATCCCATATGGTCCCCTGGGCACTGCCTGGAGTAATTCCTGAGCATCTTCAAGGTGTGGCTCAACCCAAAAAAAAGAGAGATCATCTTAATTCAAACCTGTGTCTTAAAGGCAAATCGAAGCATAAGGAGAGAAGAATTTGTCATGAGGTCTACACATACCTGGCCCTGTTGCCCACCTCTTTTAAGAATTTCAGGTAGTTTTGCTTGATTGCGGTTCTGGGTTGTTTCTGGAAACCCTTGAGTGTTTGAAACGCATTCCATGTTGAAAGGAGTTGAACATGTTCAGTGGATACAGTAAAGCAGAGGCTGCCATTCCTTCTTCCACCCCCTCACCCTTACCTGGGTCCTGCAATAAAGGGTGGCTGGACTGATCTAAAAGATCGCTTTAGGGCCCAAGAGAGATAGTACCGGGGGATAAGCCTGCTATGTGGCCAGCCCTGAGCACCAGGGGGTATGGTCTTTAAACCCAAAACAAACCATCACATTAGGAAGGGATTTGAATGAAACCACTGGGCGAAATGAATGATGGTTTACAAAGGTAATTTTTATATTTGTTACACTTAATTTTTTCCTCTGCCCCCCCTACACACACACACACACACACACACACACACCCCTCCCCAAACCCAAAGGTGGAGTAGGAGTTTATCTACGCCTCTGAAAGATTAGCAATTATAGCACCCCGGTAAGGGATACCATTCCCCAATTGGTTCCCCCAAAAGAGATAAAGTAGGCATTAGAAATCTAAAGTTAGTTGGCGTATTTCATAGAAATTCACTTTGGATTTTTTTTTTCCCCCGATGATGTTATGTTTTCCTTTGCCAGATCTGATAGGGCTTTTTCACTTTCAAGGGTTAGTTTTTTTTTTTTTTTAAACCAGTATGACTAGCGTTTTTCCTTAGAGAAAATCTAGTCTTCAGATAGAAATATTTGTGTTTTGATTTCTCTTGTTGCCCTGGTTTTAGTCAGCACTGACTGATTGTGTTTAAAAACAAGTTCTTTGGCGACTGGAACTTTAGTTCCTAGGGTTACTGTATCAAGGCCACTGGTAAATTATTCAGGCTTCAGAATATGGTGGCAGTGAATTTCTTGGTCATTTCTGCTCATGGAGTATTTTAGACATGTATTCATTATGCAAATACTGTCTTAAGAAAAGTCATAATCATGAGATGAGGAGATGGTGTTTTGAGTCAAAGGGCAGAAATCAAAATTAAATTAACTGCAGTTCTGTAACCATTGAAAATTCAAAGTTACTAATACTGAGAGTAAGAGTTTGGGTAGGTTGCCAATCTACCTTTTTGTCGATCTATATTCATTTAGTGACTGTCTACCAAGTTACTTGGATTTGAAGTGGAGGCATTTTTTTTTGCAGGTTTTTTTTTACTATTATTATTTTAAATTTATTTATTTTTTATTAGTAAAACACCATGAGGTACAGTTGTAGACTTACAAATTTTTGTGCTTGGGTTTCAGTCATACAGTGATTGAGTACCCATCCCTCCACCAGTGCCCATTCTCCCTCACCACTGATCCCCGTGTCCCTCCTCACCCCTCCTCTGTGGCAGGGCATTCCCTTTTGTTCTGAAGTGGAGACATTTTTAACACACCCTTCTTTAGATTTTTCTTTCATTTGCTTCATTTGGATATAGTTTGATCAGATAACAAGAAGTGAACAATAATACACTCTGTGCTTTATACTTCATCTTATCAAATAATAGTTACAACACTATAAGATTCCTTAGACACCTTGTTTCATTTTTTGTTTTGTTTTTTTTAGTTTGAAACCATTGGGGGAAATAAGTGATGGTTTACAAAGGTAATTTTCATGCTTGTTACACTTAATTCTTCCTCTGCCCCCCTACACTTGCAAGGGGAGGTCCCCCTAAAAGCAGGGCTTCCCAGTCATACTGTGTTTTTAATCAAGATTTAATGGGACTTTTCAGAAATGCAGCTATGGGCGCCGGAGAGAGAGTACAGCGGGTAAGGCGCTCGCCTTGCAAATGGCCAACTTGGGTTGCATCCCTGGCATCCGATGTGGTTCTCTGAGCATCGATGGGCGTGGCCCAGAAACAAAAGAAAAATGGAAATGCAGCCACGGAACATGCTTTTTCTTTTTTTCTCTCTAGGTTGCTTTCCAGGAAGCCTTGAACAGTGCAGGAGATAAGCTCGTAGTAGTTGACTTCTCGGCCACGTGGTGTGGACCTTGCAAAATGATCAAGCCTTTCTATCATGTGAGTGTTCCATGACTTGTGCCTTGTAAGAGATTTGTATTGGGGGGCCATGGTCACAAGGAGAGAACAATGGAAGAGTGTAGGAATCCCTTCCTTAGGAGAATCTTTTGTTTAAAAATAATAGCCCTCTCATGGTGTTTCACTAAGAAAAAAAGAAAAAAAAACAAAGAAAATAAAATTCATCTGTGATTTTACATTTATCAGTTAAAAAAAATAAAAATAATAGCCCTAAATAGAATTATTTTAATTTAGTTTGACATAAAGATAACTTTTAGAATAAATGGATTTGGGTATCTTAAATGGTTTTTTCCCTTCCAGTTGAAACACAGGTTCTCTGAAATTCAGGTGTCAAAATTGACATGCCAGATGATTTTTATACTAAAAGAAATCTGACTTGGGACAAATCCGCTTACCCAAACCCTTACCTGAATATTTGAAACTTCAGTTAGCCTTTGGGCTTACTAGGTGTCCACTTAGAAACTTGTGTATGTTGTCTGCTATGATCCAGTTCTAAATATGTGTGGATTCTTCTTTTGACGTTTTCCAGAGCCTCTCTGAAAAGTATTCCAACGTGGTGTTCCTGGAAGTAGATGTGGATGATTGCCAGGTACGTGGCCGGAAACGTAGACCCCTACTGGTCTGTTGGCATTGCCTTCTTTGAATTGCACCTGTCTTTATAAAAATGCCAAGTAACGCTAGAACTCTAGCCCTCACCAAGTGTTCTGTTTCAGAAGAATGTGGTCACTTTGAGAGACCTCTCAGATGGCAGGAGTTACATAATTAAATCTGAAAACCATACAGTTAGTTAGGGCTTCGATACCTTACTCGTTCTCGCTCTTTGTAAAAATCAACCAAATCTTCCCTACACTGAGATTTTCCATAAGCAGAAATTTAGTTTGACAATGAGAACTCAATCCAGAGAGCCCCGATGGTATTACCACACAGGGGAGGCCAGTCTATATGGGGGTGGTAAGGAGGGTCCTAAACTGTGTCCACAGAGTCTGGGGGTCATATCTGGATTAGCTATAGGAGCCTAATGGGGTGCTGTTCCAGCCCTGAGGTTCTGGGGCCCACAAACACACCTGGAAATGCAGGGATTGAACTCAGGGCCTAGCAAATACCGAGGGAGGTACTTTAGTCCTTGCCTACCCCCATGGGCCATTTTTAAGTCTTTGTGAACAAAGATGGGTCTAGAAAGTATTTACAAGTAGGCTTATGAATCCTGGTTGATTTTCATCTTGTTGATTTTCATTAATGAATTAGTTAATTCCTTTTTTTTTCTTGTAAGAGTTTTTATGGCCTCAAACGCAGGTGACATCGGTTGAACAAGACCATATATGTTATTACAAGGGTACAAGCTTATGTTTTCTTGTTTGTTTCTTTTTCTATTTTGTTTTGTTTTTGGGTCACACCATCGCACAGGGGTTACTCCTCGCTCATGCATTCAGGAATTCCTCCTGGCGGTGCTCGGTGGACCATATGGGATGAAAACCCAAATACTGTATAGAAGAAATAGCCAAGGTTCCTGATGAGTTCCGAGGGAGGAATTTGGAAAGTCCTGGGAGGGGCTTCATGCCACAAGTGCTTGTTGAACCTTGGGTGAGCACCAGGCACCATTGTACTTCTGTCTCTGTACGACTGTCCCCATTGGTTTTTTTGTTTATCAGGAAGCTATACCCAGGGCTTATTCCTGACTCTGCACCCAGGGATCACTCCCAGTGGTGCATATGGAGACCCTATGTGGTATTGGGGATCAAACCTAGCTCAGCTGATTTCAAGGCGGGTGCCCCACCCTGTACTATCTCCCTAAGCCCACCATCTCCATTTTGTGGGTGAGTGAGCTCGGAGGGGTGGGGGGGGGGAAGGGTCAGGATCGGTGAGGTTAGCAAGTGGCAGAGCCGGGATTTGATGGGAGGTGGTCTGCTCCGAGGTGCTGGCTCTGAGCACAGCTTCTTCAGAGCGGGCTCTGTCCTCCAGGCTGTTCTAGAAGGAGCCCATACTTGCTTCTCTCTTCCTGAACACCTGCTCATTCATTTTCTGAGCAGACACAGGGGCCTACCAGAGCTGTAGAGGGTCGGGAAAAAGGTATTTGCAACTTGCTAAACCCGGGAGGCTCTACGAAAACCAAATTGCTTGGTGTTTTTTTGGTTTGCTTTTAGACCACACCCACAGTGCTTACCTCCTGGCTCTGCTGGGTGAAGGAGTGGGGGGTCACTTCTGGAGGTACTCAGGAGCCCATAGGTGGTTCCAGAGATCAAATTGCTGAGATAGGCTGCATGCAAGGCCAGCACCTTAACCTACTGTACTTTGTCCCTTCTTTTTTTTTTTTTTTTTTTTTTTTTTTTGCTTTGCTTTTTGGGTCACACCCCATGATGCTCTGGGGTTACTCCTGTCTCTGTGCTCAGGAATTACTCCTGCGGTGCTGGGTGGTGGGGGGGGACCATATGGGATGCTGGGATTAAACCTGGGTGGGCCGAGTGCAGGGCAAGCACCCTGCCTGCTATACTATCACTCCGGCCCCGCCCCTCTGTCTTTAGACCCCTTCCTCCTCTCCATAAGTCTTTGCTGTGACTCCTGCCTTCTCTTCTGGGCAAGTCTCGACCTTTCCTCGCTAGCTGGCACCTAGTCACAAGCCTTGCAAGGCCTCCAGTAACGCACCATGTGCCCCAGGTCTGTTTCCCATCCTCTGGCCCCTTTGGCCCCGTGCTTTGTGGCAGGGGTTGGAGTTAGGTCCTGGACTAAAGTGCTGACATAAGTTTCCCAGCTATGTTCCTGATGTGCCCGGCCGGCTGGGTGGTTTTCCTTTCTGTGCCTCAGTTTGGTTCTCTGTAAAGCGCAGGCTTGAGCAGCAGCATTAGAAAACAGTCAGTTGGGTGACATGGTGCCTGTGAGATGCTCCACATACCATGTCGTGTCTGGCCCAAGTTAAGTACCCACTGAATCTTGGTCAGTACTGATGACTCCAGTATGTTTCTTGCGGTGACAGACCCTATCTTAATTCTGTGTCATCTTTCGCAGACATAACCTGTTACATAACAGATGTAGAATGAATTAAATTTTTTTTAAGGTAGATAGAAACCGCTGGTGAAAGAAGCACCAGTGTTTTTTGGTTTGGGAGGTGGGGGGTGGGGATTGGGGCCACACCCTGCTGTACTTAGGAGGTAACTACTAGCAGTGCTCAGGGCACCCTGTGGGGTGCTGGGCATTGGACCAGGCTTAGTCACATGCAAGGCAAGCACCTTCCCCCCACTGCGCGAACTCCCCGGCCTCCCTGTCTTAGTCTTAATTGTATATGGCCACAGTAGGCAGGTGAAAAGCGAAGGCCGGTGACTAACCTTTTTATTGGAAAGTAGTGATGTGTCCTGATACTGCAGTAAACCTCCCGTATGCATTATGTCATGGAATCCTCACTGGAACAATGAGAAGAGTTTTTACGGGTGCCCCCGTGCAACAGATCACGGGGCTGGGGTGTGTGGCCGAACCTGTAGGTTTGCCTCTGCTCTGTACTGCCCTTAGGGAGAAGTTCTTCCCCCCTCAATCTGGAGCCCCTGGGAAGCACCAAGCAGAGTAGTCGGAATTGGGTGTGCTAGCGTCTGAGTCCATATACCCTCATCCTCACGGTCACCCTCATCCTCACTCACACCCACACCCACACCCTCACCCGGTCACAGGATAGTTCAGCAGGGACTGGAGAGATACTACAGCATGCAGGGTGCTGGTGCTTGTCTTGTAATCCCCATATGATCCCCCAAGTCTTAACCAAAAATGACCCCTGAGCACCATCAGGTGTGGTCCTCCCCTGTTCCCCCCCCACACACACACACACACACACACACCACCCCCCACTTTCCAAAAAAAAAAAAAAAGCTGTAAAATCTGGGGTTAGAGCAAAAATCCAGCAGGCGAGGCATTTGCCTTGGAAGCAGCCGATCCAGATTCAATCATCCGACAGCTCATATGGTCCCCCAGAGCCCTCCAGGGGTGATTCCTGAGTGCAGAGTGTGGAATGAACCCTGAACATTAGCTGGATGTGGCCCCCAACAAGCGGGAAAACAGTTGAGCAGAATCTGTGGAAGGTTCTGTTGGCTTTATTCAATGAGCGGTGAGTGGAGTGGGATCACTCCGGCAGAGAGGGTGAGATAGAACTGTTGCCGGATGAATCACCTTCCTGTAGGCGGGAGCACCCGTAACCTTATTAGCTGCTGATGCCAGATTAAAAAAACAAAATGCCATTTCTGGAAAGGACCAAAATCGCAGTTAGATTAGCAATTAAGTCTTGGCTTGCCAGGCTGGAGAGATAGTACAGGGGTTAAAGCACTTGCCTTGCTTGCTGCTGACCCTGAGTTTGAGCTTGAGCTCAGTATGTGGTCCCTGAGCACAACCAGGTGTGGCACAAAAAAAAAAAAAGCCAGAAATATTTGGGTTGGTTTGGTCTGTTTGAACTCAGCATATGTGATTCCATCTGGAGGCGTGTTGTCCCCTTTTTTTGGCTCTTTTCTGGGTCACACCCAGCGATCCACAGGGGTTACTCCTGGTTCTGCACTCAGGAGTTACCCCTGGCGGTGCTCAGGGGACCATATGGGATGCTGGGAATCGAACCCAGGTTGGCTGCGTGCAAGGCAAACACCCTACCTGCAGTGCTATTGCTCCAGCCCCTGTCTTTTTCTTAATACCCTGGAGGTTTCCAGTGACCTCACGAATTAGGGGCATTTGTTTTGCCTCTGTGTTCTGAAGATTTGATGACCCACAATACTGGGTATATTATTTCTTTTCAGGACCTTTAAGGACTTAATGCCATGTAAGAATGAATTATCTTAGCAACATGTTGCAGAATCTCAAAATTGGACTAATTCCAGACCACCTGGTCCCCTCAGACAAATAGCAGCCATATGTCTGCTCTTAGTCACCTGGCTGTCTATATGTAACTCCAAACAAAAAGCAAATCACTTCAAACCATGTATCTCATTCCCCACGGGAACTTCCAGTTACGTGCGTGTATCGCACCGGCCAGTTGCTTTGGAAATGTTATAAGGGAAAATATGCCTTCATTTCCACTCTCGAAGAAGACAGAGGGGACAAAGATGATATCAGACTTGTTTCTGAGTATTCAATCATATCATTACACATTCTGATTAAAGGCTGAAGTTAGCCGATGATCGTACATCCACAACTCTGGGGTTGGCATGCACCATAGTTCAGTGAAAGGGTCACTTAACACTTGGGTAGGAAGAAATGATGCATTAAGTGTAACAGGCATTGCATGGACAGAAAATGTGGTACCAAAGAACATAACTCTGTTTAGAGGAAAGTATGAGAGTCAGAGACTGACCTTTGATGGCAGATCCTGCTTCTGCCTCTCCACTTGTCTCGTTATTTTAAGAAAATTAAAAAATGGAAACTGATTTCAGTCTCATGACGGCAGTCTTTTTAGAGTGCCATGGTTTCCATTTTGATAAAAACTGAATTACTAGTGGCATTGACACATTTCCATTTTTTTTAAGTTATTTTGATATATGGAGGATTAAGCTTAGAAGTTCATGAAATTAATTTGACTGCATATGGTTAAGCGTATTATTACAATGGGAGGTTTTCAGCAAAACAGACAACAGGTCAGTGGTTGCTAGGGGTGAGGGTGGGGGAGAGCCTTGGGGAAAGGCAGAGATGCAGCTGGCGGGAGTTGCAGGGAGGAGAGAGCGAGACATTTCCTGTCCTGCCGTACTGTCCTGATGGACCTGAACATCTATCAAAACTACTGCACATTAACCAGAGAGATAGTACAGCGGGTAGGGCACCTGCCTTGCACGTGTCTAACCTTGAGTTCGATCCCCGGCACCCCATATGGTCCCCCGAACCCTCCAGGAGTGATTCCTGAGTGTAGAGCCAGGAGTGATCCCTGAGCACTACCAGGGATGGCCCAGAAACAAACAAAAAAGAACTAGCACGCCACCTTCTCCACACCGCCCTCTAAACCTCAGTGTATTTTATCTGTAAATAATTAACTTCACCCGCTTCGCTTGCAACTAAGGGAAATGATGAAGAAACTTGATAAGTAATTTTTTTTTGTGTGGGGGGGGCAGGTCAGTGATGACAAGGATCAACCCGAGGGCCTTGCACATGCCAGTTATATATGCTCTGCCACATCACAGAGGAGTGGGTCCAGGGGATTGGTATATGGCTCAAAAAAAGGTCTGATTTGGGAGCCACGTCTTGGTGGTACTCCAGGCTTACTCCCTCCTGGCTCTGCGCTCAGAGATCACTCCTGGTGGTCCCCGGGGACCATATGGGATGCCAGGGATTGAACCCAGGTTGGCCGCATGCAGGACAAACGCCCTACCCACTGTACCATCTTCTCTGGCTCCTCTGAATAGTTCTTAAACCTCAAGTATAACCACTTAAAATCTTGCTCCCTCTCAGCATTATGATTTGAGAAATAGATGAGAATTTTCTGAACTTTCAGGGAAGACGCTGGAAAGTTTTCAAAATGAAAACATGAAGCTGAAGATAGAGTACAGTGAGTAAGGTGCTTGCTTTGACCTGGCAGTACATGGTTCCTTAACCTCACTCCCTAACACACCAGCACTGCCTTGTGTGGTCCTCATTAACAGTGAAAATAGGAATAACAATTTCACAATAGTTAATTTCTCCTAGCAGTTCTCCTTCCAGGGGTGGGGAATGAATCCGTCTACAGAACTGTTTTTATGTGAAGATTAATCTGTTAGGCACCATGAAAACCTTTCGCACATTGACCAGTAGATTAAAAAGATCATCCATAAAGTGGCTGCTCTGAAACTGGGAAAATATACATTTTGTAAGAAAAAGGAATGTGTTATAGTGCATCTAGCATGGGTTTCATGGAAGACTATTTATTTAGAATGTCAATGAATGTTCACAGCATTTATATTGGCTGGCTTCCCTCTTCTAGTTTTTTACTTTTTACATCAAATGGATAAACTTTTATGTAAATTAAAAGTGGACATTGACTTTCCTAACAGAATAGTTGCGTTAGGTTTTTGCCCTTGGGTTGTGTCTTTGATCCCCCCAGAAGTGGATCACTCTTGGCAGTGCTCGGGCCATATGGGGTGCTGGGGATTGAACCCTGGCCGACCGTATGCAAAACATATGCTCTACCCATTGCACTAACAGAAAAAGAGAGCTTGTGCTCCATGTAGAAATCATTTCACAATTAAAAGTACTTATCAAAGAGCATTAGCCAGTTTTAGGGTACTATAAATTATGGGAGTGAATAGGAATGCAGCCCCCTGGTGAAGAATGAAGTTCCCCCAGAACTTGACAGTGGGTGGGTCATCACTCCATTGATTAGAGTTCCATAGTTTCTGCTGGGAAAGCATTGAGTAAAATTTTTTCTCGGGTTCTCTTTTCAGCTAATCCTGAATACACTTAACAGGTGTATTTGTGTTTTCTTTATACAACTTGATTTGTGGCGTTCGGTGGGTGAGGGGTGGGGGGTATTCCAGATGGTAGGGGTGGGACCCTCCTGGCAATTCTCTGCCTAGTTGGCTGCTGGTGGCTCAGTGCTTAAGTTCGCTGTTGCTAGGGTTTGCCGAAACCACCCGAGCAGTGCTTGGAGGGACCGTGTGGTGCTGGGCGAGTGTCTGTGCCCCTGTACCATCACCCCAGCCCCTTTCTGTGATGCTTAAAATAGCTAAGGTATAAGTGGATGAGAGGGCTCAGTGGCTCACGAGTAGCTGATGCTAACAGCATTTTGTTTGGGGCCCTTCAAAGAGGAGCGTATGTATTAGTAAGAACTGCCTTGTTTGTGATTGACCCAGGTTTGGTCACTGCATCTTGTATGATCCCCAGCCATTGCCGGCAGTGATCCCTGAATGCAGAGCAAGGAGTTAAGCCCTGAGCACTCAGTGGGTGTGGGGACCTTCTCCGCCCACAAAAAAAATTTAACAAATTTGGTTTTTATGCTGCTTCCAAAATATCCGAAAACTAATCTGGCTTGGGGTCACATCTGTTACCGCACTCAATACTCACACTTTCGTTTTTGTTCCCTTTTAGGATGTTGCTTCAGAGTGTGAAGTCAAATGCATGCCAACCTTCCAGTTTTTCAAAAAGGGACAAAAGGTACGTACTTATGACCTTAGTTAGGGAAAAATGTGAGGGGGCAGAAATAGTACAGCCGGTTGGGTGCTTGACTTGCATGCGGCCCACCTGGATTTGGTGCCTGGGGTCTCCTGAGCCTGCCAGGAGTGATCCCTGACCACTGCCTGGACCACCAACACCCCCCCCCCACCACCAAAAAAAAAGAAAAAATAGAACAAATGAGAAATACATCCCCATTTCCTACCTGAAAAGGTACGTAGAGGTCATTCTTCACCGATTCAAGTACAGGGTATGACAGCTAATAATGGAGGGCTGCTCTTTTGTTAGACCTCCTCATCCTGTGATTGTGGCTTCCTTTTTTGATCAGGAAATACGTGTCTTTAACACTTGAATGCCAGGGCTGCAGTTTGTTGATTAAAACAACACACAACTGTGAGCCACTGGTGGTATACACAGCTATCGCTGTACTAGAGACAGATTTATCAGGGCCAGGGAGATAATGCAGAGGGTAAGGTACTCGCCCACCTTCCATGTTGCTGCACTGGTTCCATATTTGGCACCATATATGGATGGTCCTCCTAGCATGGCTAGGCATGGTCCAGACTACACTAACCCTCCCACCTCCCCAATACGAATAAGTATTATTGACTTCTGGAAGGTCAAAAACATCCAGGGGTATTTTTGGTTGGGGGGCGGCCAGATTGATGCTGCTTAGAGCACCATACGGGGTACCAGGGATTGAAATGAAGGTGGGCAGTATCTTACCCCATCCTGTATATGCATATGCACGGAAATAGGAATGAGCGCTCTATCTAATGTCAGTTCAATGTTCTCTTCACAGGTGGGTGAGTTTTCTGGAGCGAATAAGGATAAACTTGAAGCCACCATTAATGAATTCATCTGATCATGTTTTCTGATAACATAACTCCACAGCTGTAATTTTTTTTTTTTACAAAAAATGAGATCGAATATGAAGACTATATAACCCAACTACCATTGATTGTAACAATAAATATTAATTGTACCCTTTTTAAAACTGTCTGGTGTCTGACTGGCTTTTATTTTGGAGGGCCAATCCCAACAGTGCCGGGGCGTCATGCAGAACACCAGGAATTTGAACTTAGGACTGTTTGCTTGAACGACAGGTGCTTTAAGTCCTGAGCTAGAATCCTGGGGTGGGGTGTGGGGAAGGGGGGGGGCGCACACTGTGGAAAGGCTTTTCAAATAGAGGCTAGGGGCTGGAGCGATAATACACTGGGTAGGGTGTTTGCCTTTCACAGTTGTCCAGCATCCCTGAAGCACCGCCAGGAGTAATTCCTGAGTGCAGAGCCAGGTAACCCCTGTGCATGGCTGGGTGTGACCCAAAAGCAAAAACAGAGCAAAACAAGAAACAAATAGAACCTAGTGACCAAGTCTTGATGGAGCAATGCAGATAATTTTTAAAAATCTTTCATTTTTTTAAAATGACAGAATATGATCTGATCTAGAAAGCAAGATGTCAGGATATCAGCATGACCCAAATCAACATCCAATATCAAGGACTGTTTAACCCCAGTTAGTGGTTCCTAGCCCAGCCAAGGAGTACAGGGGCCAGAGAGATAGTACAGTGGGTAGGGAAATTACCTTGCACACAGCTGACCCAGGTTCGATCCTGGGCATCTCATATGGTCCCCTGAGCACCACCGGAAGTAATTCCTCAGTGCAGAGCCAGAAGTAACACCCCTGAGCATCGCTGGTGTGACCCAAAAAAGCTAAAACAAAAAAGAACCAATCAAGGAGTACAGTGACCCTAGGGATTATAGCTCAGCCCATCCTGGGTTTGGTGCTGAGCAGTGCAAAAAGTACAATGAGCTAACAGTATCTGAGTCCTGTTGTATTACGTATTCTTACAGGGGAGATTAGGCTGGAGCCATAGCACAGCAGTAGGGCGTTTGCCTTGCGCACAGCCAGCCCGGCCAAGCCAGGTTCGATTCCTCCGCCCCTCTCGGAGAGCCCGGCAAGCTACCAAGAGTATCTCGCCTACACGGCAAAGCCTGGCAAGCTACCCATGACATATTCAATATGCCAAACAGTAACAACAAGTCTCAAAATGGAGATGTTACTGGGCCCACTCGAGCAAATCGATGAACTGGGGAGATTATACAGGAGCTAAAGGACTTGGTTTGCTCATAGCTGAGCCTGGTTGATTGATCCCTGGAGCTGCGTTTATGACTCCCCCAAGCACTGCCAGGAGTGATTCCTGAGCACCACCAAGTGTGGCCCAAAAACCACCAAAAACATTTCTGGTTTCCTCAAATACAACAGTGGACCAGATCAATAATACGACGGATAGGGCTTTTGCCTTGCACACAACTGACCCAGGTTTGACCCCTTGGTATCCTAGCTGGTTGATCCCTTAAGTCCACCAGAGTACAGAACCAGAAATAAAGTCTAAGCACTGCTAGGTGTGGCCCAAAACACAAAAACAATAGTATGTTAAACTGGTTTTCTGTGCAAAGTGTTCCCAGTCTAACTTTCTCAAAATACATTGTATTGGGGCCAGAGAAATAGCACAGTGCGGGGTAGGTCACTTTCCTTGTACGTGGCTGACCTGGGTCCAATAACTGGCTCCCCATATAGTCCCACAAGTCCCCCCAGGAGTGATCACTGAGTGCAACGCCAGGAGTAAGCCCCGTACACCACCAGGTGTGACCCCAAAGCGCTCCCACCCCACCCCCCAAAAAACCTATTGTTTGTGTTCTGTACAGAGCAGTGCACAGGGGCCATATGCCATGCAGGGTCTACAGCTGTGTGCAAGGGTGATTTTGTGCTAACTTTAGTCCCTGTGCGCTCTCTCTCTCTCTCTCTCTCTCTCTCTCTCTCTCTCTCTCTCTCTCTCTCTCTCTCTCTCTCTCTCTCTCCCTGTATTATCGTAAAGAAAAGGGGGTGGTGGGAATGCTAGAATCATGAGAAAAAAAGTTTATTGAATTGATGCTGTAAGTCTCCATTGTCTACTTACCGGGAAGTAGTAGGCCCAAGCAGTTCAAACCTGTGTTGTTGTCCATGGCACAACTGTCATCTGCCACCGTAAGGTGGGTAATGTGAGCCCCATTTCCCAACAAACAGCAAGCAGCTGTAGTTTAGGTATTTGCCGCCCCCCCACCCCACCCCCAACACTCTAGTCAGTAGAGAAGCTGAGATTGATTCATTTGTTGCCTCTTTGGTGTAATGGCATTAATACTGTTCAAGGAAAGGTCTTTGACTCGGTTCTCTTTCCTTACCAGTAACAGACTTGTCCCCAAAGTGGATTATTAACCTAGAAATAGTAAATCCTTTCACTTGTTACCAAACTCATATAATGACAAATTGTGAACGCAGGATTCATAACTCCATAGTATACAGAAAAGCTGGGATCATGCAGTGAAAGAAATAGAGTTCCAGGGGCTGGAACAATAGCACAGCGGGTAGTGTGTTTGCCTTGCACACGGCCAACCTGGGTTCGATTCCCAGCATCCCATATGGTCCCCCAAGCACTGCAAGGAGTAACTTCTGAGTGCATGAGCCAGGAGTAACCCCTCTGCATCACAGCGTATGACCCAAAAATAAAAAGAATTCCATCATGATTATAGTGAATTGACCATACGTGTAGTGTGTGTATGTAGCACTGTCCTCCCATTGTTCATCGATTTACTAGAGTGGGCCCAGTAACGTCTCCATCATGAGACTTTTTGTTACTGTGTTTGGCATATCGAATACATCACGGGTAGCTTGCCAGGCTTTGCCGTGCGGACGAGATACTCTCGGTAGCTTGCCAGGCTCTCCAAGAGGGGCGGAGGAATCGAACCTGGCTTGGCCAGGCTGGCTGCGCACAAGGCAAAGTCCTTATGCTGTGTTATCACTCCAGCCCAGTGTGTGTATAAATATATATAAATATATATGTGTGTGTGAATGTATATATATACATATATATCATATTATCTAATCATAAATTCTTAAAGGTAATTTATAGACTAAACACATTACTCAAGAGTTGTTCATGGTCCAGTAGAGAAAAATATCAAATCAACTGGATATATAACTTGATCATGCTGTTAAGGGCTCTGAAAAGAAAAGAGCATTCTCTCTAGGAATTCAAGAAATCCTTTACAAAGCTGGTGCTTCTGGTGAGAACACCGAAGATAAAAAGGACAGATAAATGTCAAGGACAGGGATGAAAAGAGCCCCTGGCACATTGTTGGTGGGACTATAAATCAGTGCAAAGTCTGGAAATGGTTTAAATGGTATGGAGACGCTTATTTAAAAAAAATTTTTTTTAAGTACCTGGGTGGGTAGGTGGGGGGGGGTGGGGGGAGAGAGATAGTACAACAGGTAGGGCACTTGCCTTACATTTGGCCAATCCAGATTTGATCCCTAGCACCCCATAAGGTCCCCCAAGCCTGCCAAGAGTGATCCTGAACACAGAGCCAGGAGTAAGCTCTGAGCATCACTGGGTGTGGCCCACAAACAAACCAAAAATGCTATATAGTCCCTAGGTATTTATCTGAAAGACTTTGAAAACAACCATTCGAAACAAAACCAAAAGGCCAGAGTGATAGTATAGTGAGTAGGGCATTTGCTTGCATGCAGCCGACCTGGGCTTGATCCCCGGCATCCCATATGGTCCCTCAAGCATCACTGTCATTGTCACTGTCACTGTCCTCCCGTTGTTCATCGATTTGCTCGAGCGGGTCCAGTAACCTCTCCATCAGGAGACTTCTTGTTACTGTGTTTGGCATATCGAATACATCACGGGGAACTTGCCAGGCTCTGCCGTGCGGGCGAGATACGCCAGGAGTAATTCCTGAGTGCAGAGCCAGGAGTAACCCCTGAGCATTGCTGGGTGAGATCCCCACCCCACCAAAAAAAAGCAAAAAAAAAAAAAAGTTCCCTGCTGTCAGCAGCAGCATTACTCACAATAGGCAAAACTCGGGATCAACCTAATGCCCGCCCATAGATGCCCAAAGTAGCTCTGGTGTTGCAGCATTCTGCTGTTAGAACAGTGGGGCCCACCCAGAAGATCACGCGGTAGCTAAGAGTGCCAGCCCAGCGAGCACAGATCCCCTCTTCAAACTCCAATGCCAAGCACACCCACCAGAGCAATGCCGACACTCTGCTGTTAGGGATTCCCAGCAAGAAAGGACCCAGAGACAGCTCCAGGACTTGTGAATCAAGGGACAGCGTGAGGCCGCACACCTGAGCCCTGTGCTGCTGTGGGCATGGAGGCAATTCTGCCCTGACCACCTCTGCTTCTAGGACCCACGGTGAAATGGAGGCTGGACCAAGAATCTGGCGGAGCTCAGTGGCAGAGCACCTGCCTTGCAAGCCTGAGGTTGCCAGTGGACGCCTGGTACCTCCACCTTCACACGCCAAGGGGTGACCCCGGCAGCACTGCAGTTGGGGATCTCTGGAAGCACAACAAATTGTGGGGTGGTCTTTGGCACATTCCTTCCCCGAGTGCACAACCCCTGGCCATTGCAACGACAATGACTACAACCAAAGGGAAGGGAAAGGGGGATGGTCCATTTTAAAAGATAAAACGAGGCAATTTGGTTTCGTCAGCTGGAATAGAGAATCACTAAGACAATGATGGTTGGAGGGATCGCTAGGGATGGGAGATGTGTGCTGAAAGTAGATAAGGAACCAAACATGATGGCCTCTCGGTATCTGTATTGCAAACCATAATGCCCAGAAGTAGAACGTATGGGGGAAGTTGTCTGCCATAGAGGCAGGGGGAGGGTTAGAAAGTGGCGGGGGGCGGGGTGTATACTGGGGACGTTGATGGTGGGGAATGTGCACTGGTGGAGGGATAGGTGTGTGATCATTGTTTGACTGAAACTGAAACATGAAAGCTTTGTACCTGTATCTCTCGGTGATTCAATAAAACAAAACAAAACAAAAAACTAGGCAATTTGGGACAAGTGAGCTGGAATTTACAAAGATTATGCTAAGTGAGGTGAGTCCAGAGGTGGGAGATAGTTACCGGATGGTTTCACTCTCAGGAGGAAAATAACCAAAGCAAAC